TCCCCCTCCCCCCCCACCAAATGCCAAAAAACTTACCTCATCACAATAAATGTAATCTGAATTCTGACAATTGCTTGGGTCAATATCCAATCTTTCAATAGAGCTTGTCTCTATCTTCAAAGTAGAACCGGAATCTGACAACTTTTCACCACTACCACCATTTCTCACCTATATTACTATAACAGCTCAGAAACTGCTTTCCTTGCATGCATCCTTATGCCCGCTTAGTCTGTTTTCAACACAGGAGCCAGAGTGATAATGTTAAAACATGAATCAGATAGTAGCTTTTCTCTGTTCAAAACCTGTCAATGATTTCCTATCTCACAGAGTAAAAGTCGCAAACCTTCTCCTCATGTCCTACAGTCTTCCCCCTTGCTCAGTGTTCTGCACCAGTCCCATCTGGTTTCCTTGATTCATGGCATTACAGGCATGCTTCTGCCTTTGAATGCATGGGCTTTTGCACTTACAGTAGGAGCTCATAAAAATAGCTATAAAGCATTTTATTTAGTGTTCTTTTTTTTCCTTTTTTTAAATATATCTTTACTGATTTCAGAGAGAGGAAAGGAGAGGGAGAGAGATAGAAACATCAATGATGAGTCATTGGTTGAGTCCACAACCCGGGCATGTGCCCTGACCGGGAATCGAACCCTGATCACCTGGATCCTAGGTCGACGCTCAACCACTGAGCCGTGCCCGGCTGGGTGTATTTAGTGTTCTAAGTGCTTTACTTTCTTTTTAAAAAATAATTTAATTCACATAATAACCTTTTGAAATAGGTACTGTTGGTCGTTTTAGAAGAATATAGGAACAAATATTTTACAGATAAAGAAACTGATGCACAAGGCCAGTAAGTAACTTGTCCAAGGTCATATGTATGGGCCGTGACAAAGCTCAGATCCAAACCGAGGCCCTGGACAGCTCTCCCCCTAGATATCTGCCTGACTCCTCACCTCCTTCAGAGTGTCCCTGTTCACACATTGCCTTCTCAGTGAGCCCTACTATGGTCTACTTAAAATTCCAGCCTTCAACCCCAGTCTTATCTCCCCTTCCTACTTTTTCCACAGTACTTACACCATCTGAAATACCATGCATATGATATATATTTTATGTATACATATACCCAGTTTTATTGAGATATAATCACATATCATACAATTCATCAATTTAAATTGTACAACTCCATGGGTTTTGCTGTATATAGAGTTGTGCAACAATACCACAATCAACTTTAAACATTTTCATCACCCCAAAAAGAAACTCTTTCCTCACAGCAGTCGCTCCTGCTTGCTCTGCCCCCTCACCAACATCCCAGCCCTGAGCAAATACCAATCTACTTTTTGTCTCTATAAACTTGCCTATTCTGGACATTTTGTGTAAGTGATATTATATAATATGTGGCCTTTTGTGAATGGCTCCTATCACTTAAAATAATGTTTTCAAACTTCATCCCTATTGAAGCATATATCAGTCATTATATTTTTTATGGCTGAATGGACAGGCTATTGTGTGAATGGACCACAATTTCTCTTATTCAACTATGGACGGACATTTTGGCCGGTATCTAGTTTGGGGCTATTACAAATAGTGCTGCTCTGGACATTAATAGGTGTCTTTTGTGCACATGTATGCATTTCTGCTGGGCATATATTTAGGAGTGGAATTGTGGGGCTTCCATGTGTTTTTCTCATGTTTATTGTGTGTCTTTCCTGACTAGAATGTAAGCTCATGTCTATTTTACTCACTGTTACGTCCCAGAGCCTAAGATACTGTAGGCCTCAAATAAGTGCTGCTGAATGGGGAAATGGTAAGCGTCAATGAGCGGTCTTGTGAGGGAGATAGTCGCTCTTTTTAGAGAGAGAGGCGGTCGTAGAGACTCTGGGAGGTCAAGTGCGCGCACGAGATCACACTGGGAGTCCGGAACTCCTCCCAAGCCTGCCTGGGGAGAGAGGCAGGGTCAGTGGCCGGTGTCCCTCTCCAGGGCCCGCCTGGTCACCAGCTGCCCCATTTGGGCTGGAGACTCAGCACGGGGCCGCAGAGAGGCGGGCGGTGCAGAGCGCACCGGGTGCGAGGGGAGCCAGGTGACAAGGGTCCCTCACCCACCTGCGCGCTCTGTCGCGTGGTGTCCCAGGTCTGCGTCCCTCCCCGCCGGAGCCAGCGTCAGGCCGGGGGCCCACGCTCCGGGCAGCTCCAGGACAGGCTGGGTGGGCCTGCCTACCCCGCCCCGGGGCGGCCGGGCGCCGAAGCTCCGGCGCTGGGTTTTAAAAAGCCGGGGCCAGCGGCTCCCAGGCTCGAGATCCTGCGCGCGGGATGGCCTCGGGCGCACGGTCCCCGCCGCAGCCCGCGGCCTCGGAGGAGGGAACGTCCGTCCCGCGTCCTGGCGGGCGTCTGAACGAAAGGGCCGTTAACCAACTTCTCCCGCGGCCTCGGAGAAGGTTCCCCGGGGCGGCCCAGCCCGGAGCCGCCGGGCTCCCCGCGCCG